GCCGGGTCATCCCTGACACAAGCAGTACACGTGTCATAGTCCTGGCGTACCAATAAACAGAATTCTTCTTATGAAGCGCTGTGTGGCGTGACCTGACTATCGAACCCTGACACGGGAAGACAGCGTGCAGGAAAGGAGAGAGCTGGGGTGATATGTCCCATTAGGAACCGACGCATCGGGGGGCAGGTGTGACTGCAGCCTTGGCTGCATTGTGGCCTCAATTCCCTGCCTGTAAAATGGGAACAAGAGCGCCCTCCCCTCTATAAGTGCAGTAGGCAAGGGCAAATACAAGGAGAGCAAAGCAATCCGCAAAAACGACACGTGCTGGATGCTGCAAGGGAGGCAGGAGGACAAGCGGAGGAAGAACCTTTTGGAAGGGGGAGCGAAGGAGGAGGCAGGCTTCTTCTCAGGGGGACAGAACATAGGTCGAGGGGCTTGTCCCCGTTAGGGTGGCCACCGGCAGGGGGTGGGGGGAGCAGGGTTGGCAGCTCCAGGTGGGGAAACTCCTAGATATTTGGGGGTGGAGCCTGGGGAGGACAGGGACCTCCGTGTGGTACCGCGCGAAAGAGTCCACCTCCAAAACAGCCATTTTCTCCAGGGGACTGATCTCTGTAGTCTGGAGATGAGCCATAATTCCAGGGGATTTCCAGGTCCCACCTAGAAGCTGGCATCCAATGCCCCCTGCTCCCCAGACCCAATTTGCTCAACCATGTTGCAAAAAGGATCACATTTGTGCTTCCTGGATCCCGTTTCCTCCCTCCCCAAGGCTTCCGTGCACACCGCCTGCTCCTGTAACCCAAGCAAGGCTCTTTGTCCGATCGCCCCGTGTCGATTTACAGGGGACAGTAGGGAGGCTGTGGGGGGGGGCTGGTTTCCCTCCCCTTCCTACTGATTCCCCCCCCCCCCCAGCTCATGTCGTCCCCAGAGGGTTCGACAACCTCTCCGGGGATTCCTCTTTCTCCTCCTAACGCTCACATCTATACGACAAACGAAATAATTCTCCTCAGCTCCGGTTGCTAAGAATCTTTTTTTTGTTGTTGTTGCAAAAAACTGCACTCCGGTTCTGAAAAAAAATACGGAAGTCCTGGGGGGGGGGGGAAATCTCAGTTTTAGTTTGTATAGTAAAGCAAGCTCCTAACTCACAAGACTATGCAAAAAAAAAAATCTGGAAAATGCAACAGCAGCAATGAAATAGACCAGGGGTGGCCAAACTGTGGCTCTTTCACACATGTTGTGCAGCTCCCAGCAGGCTGGCTGGGGAAGCGAAGGGGAGGCAATCTTCCCTCCCCCAGCCTGTGTTCCCCTCCCTGGGTAGGCCTGAGGTGTGTGGGGGGGAGCAGAGAAAGAAACCAACTTTAAATACTTTCTCAACGCCCCCAGCCCCCAGGCTGGCTTGGAGAAAGCATTCGTCTCTTTAAATATCATTATCAATACCCGTTTGTACCCCTTTTGTTTTTATTCCTGGCAGTCTTACTTAATGTTAATGTTAATTAAAAAAAAACAAATGTGCATATTTCCCAATAAAAACATGTGTACTAGTTGCCGCATGACGGAGTGAGCTCCCGTCTCTAGTTCCAGCTCCTGCCAACCTAGCAGTTCGAAAGCAAGACATTGCAGGTAGATAAATAGGTACCACTTTGGTGGGAAGGGAACAGCGTTCTGTGCACCTTGGTGTTTAGTCATGCCGGCCACATGACCACGGAAGCGTCTTCGGACAGCGCTGGCTCTTCGGCTTTGAAACGGAGATGAGCACCGCAACCCTAGAGTCGGACTCGACTGGCTTACGAGCAAGGGAACCTTTACCTTTACTATTTCTTCATGTCTTGTGGCTCTCAGATATCTGATGTTCCTTCTACGTTGCTCTTACGTTAAGCAAGTTTGGACACCCATGAAATACATGGTGCTGGTTTTCGTCTCTGTGTTTCACACCCGGCAGCCTTGGCATCGCAACAGCTGGGTCAGCGATTCCCAGATTCCTGATGCCAAGGCACATTTCTGCTTGTTTGCTGGATTATAACCCCCGGCGCACCTTCCTTTTACCCTCTTGGGAACGATCCCATTATCTGCTCCCAGTGAAGGAGCCGTGAGGCATGCACAGCGGGCAGCTTCTGCTCTGAGCTCTCGGGAGCCGGCCGTTAGGTACCGTGGGTGTTTCTCACGGGACTCTGTCGCCGGAGCCAGCGCGACAAGGACTGGTGGGCGTAGAAGAAGAAGAAGAAGAGATTGGATTCATACCCCGCCCTTCACTTAGAGTCTCAGAGCAGCTTACAAACTCCTTTCCCATCCCCTCCCCACCACAGACACCCTGTGAGGTGGGTGGGGCTGAGAGAGCTCTGACACAAACTGCTCTTTTTCGAGGACAGCTGTGCCAGAGCTTGTCACACCAGCAACTGCAAGTGGAGGAATGGAGGAATCAAACCCGGTTCTCCCAGATTAGAGTCCGCGCACTTCACCACGACACCAAACTAGCACACAAACCTCTTTGAAGTTGTCGAAGGCAGTCAGGATGATGTTGTGTCCCCCTCGGACTAAGCAAACAGCAGCCAGCAACTCAAGGACGAGAGCTTTGGTCCTGCAGGGGGGAAGAAGAGGAAGGGCTCGGAGTGGGACGTTCCATCCAGGAGGTGGCTAGACAGGGAAGAGCAGGACGGACAGAGAGAGAGGCAGGAAGCTGGGACTGTGGTGACGTGCCAAGGCCGGTGCCTTGAGAGCAGTGGTGGCGAACCTACGGGCACGCGTGCCATCGCCCCAGCCAGGCCCAGACCATCATTAAAGTGTCGAATTCTCTGCCAAATACTTTTCAGTAAATGAAAGCCTTTGGGATTGCTTTCCTTACTTTTTTTGGGTCATCTTAAGTTAATGTAGGAGTTGTTTTTTCTAAAGTAAAACGTCCGTATTCAGGTTAGATTGCCGGGTGGGCACTTTGCAATAAATAAGTGGGTTTTGGGTCGCAGTTTGGGCACGCGGTCTCTAAAAGGTTTGCCATCACTGCTTTAGAGGATCACCTTCCCTGGCATTGTGGAGCTTGGCTTATTTGCTGTGTTTTACAGGTGGGCTTTTCTGTGGCAAATGGCCGTACAGAAGGGTGTGTGTGTGTCAGTTAACACTGCCGTGTCTTTGGAACGTGTGGGGAGTGAACCTCCTCCCTTCTTGCTCACTAACAATGTCTCCTGTCTGGCTTCTTATCCACCTCTGTGTTTTTGACCTTGATTTTCCAGCTGCTCCTGACCCGCTGGGAATGAACGGCTCACCTTTCTCCTGCTCACTTTTCTCTCTCTCATGCCGGACAACTGCGCAATGCTTCTTGGCTTCTGGTTGTAATGAGGGGTGTTTTGAAACTACTATAACTTTAGGTGCCCTGCTGCTTTAGGCCATTCCTAACAAAGAACGTGCACGTGTGATAGTTACGAACTACCAATAAACAGAATACTTCTTATGAGGCGCTGTGTGGTGTGATCTGACTATAGAACCTGACAGGAGGTTGGACTAAATCAGGGTTGTCAAACATGCGGCCCGGGGGCCACATCAGGCCCCCGGAGAGCTTCTATCAGGCCCGCAGTGGAACTGGCTGTCTTCTGCTGCTGCTTCTAGTTCTGCTGCTGCTGCGTCATCGTAGGTTTGCAGCTTACAGATGCACACCTGAACAGCATACTGAAGACTGCAACAGCACAGACATTTTGATGCAATGATTCAGAGCAAGAGGTGTCGGTTATCAGACACTGTTCAATAGACAGAATATTGCACGAGTGCTAATGTTTTAAGCATGTTTTTTTATTTTAAGTAGGGAAAAACCCTTTGTGTCTGTGTCCTTTATAAAGTTTATATCTCTGCTGCCTGGCATTACGTTTTATGACACACGTGGCACGGCCCGACAAGGTCTCATTTATGTCAGATCCGGCCCTCAAACCAAATGGGTTCGACACCCCTGGACTAAATGGCCCTTTTGTCCTGACGGTTAAAGTGGTGGTAGTTGGATGTGGACTCAACAAAGGTAGCAGGACAAGAGAGCTGGGGATGGCAGCAACGGGGAAGGGGAGCAATGAAAAGAGGGGTGAAGAACCCTCCCCCCCCAAAAAAAACCCACCTGCAGCCCTGGGCAAGGGAGGCTGCCCTCCGTAAGTGCACACCTGGATCAGGCTCAAAGACCGCTTCACCCAGCATTCCGCCTCCAGCTATCAGGGCTGGCTCAAGGTCCCTGGCTGTTCCAAGCAAAGCACTCCCATCACTTCCTGGGCCTGCTCCGTCGGCCGGGCTGCGGAGACTCGTCTCAGACCCAGCTAGGGGTGGCCCAGGCCCAGGAAGGGTTGCCGGACACCTCCCATGCCACTGAGGGCAGAGAACTGTATCCCTGCAGTGCATCTGTAGCCCAAGCCAGGCTTGTGGGCACACAACGGAATTAAGGAGCAGTAGGCTTAGAACACATAGAAGGAAGTCCTTCTTCACCCAAAGAGGAATTCACATGTGGAATTGTTTGATGCAGGAAGCGGCGGCAGCTACAAGCATTGGCAGCTTCAAGAAGGGATTGGATCAACATCTGGAGCAGAGGTCCATCAGTGGCTTTGAGCCATAAGGTACAGATGGAACACTCTGTCTGGGACAAGTGATGCTCTGTATTCTTGGTGCTTGGGGGGCAACAGTGGGAGGGCTTCTGGAGTTCTGGCCCCACTGGTGGACCTCCTGATGGCACCTAGGTTTTGGCCACAATGGGACACAGAGTGTTGGACTGGATGGGCCATTGGCCTGATCCAACATGGCTTCTCTTGTGTTCTTATGTCCTCCTGGTGGCACCTGCGTTTTGGCCACTGTGTGACACAGAGTGTTGTACTGGATGGGACACTGGCCTGATCCAACATGGCTTTTCTGATATTCTTAAGAGTCGAGGTCCATGAGTGGCCATTAGCCATAAGGTACAGATGGAACTCTCTGTCCAGGACAGTGATGCTTTTTGTTCTTGGGGGGCCACAGTGGGAGGGCTTCTGGAGTTCTGGCCCCACTGGTGGACCTCCTGATGGCACCTGGGTTTTGGCCACTGTGTGACACAGAGTGTTGTACTGGATGGGCCATTGGCCTGATCCACCATGGCTTCTCTTATGTTCTTATGTCTGGGGCAGTGATGCTCTGAGCTCTTGGTCCTTGGGGGGCAACAGTGGGAGGGCTTCTGGAGTTCTGGCCCCACTGCTGGACCTCCCGATGGCACCTGGGTTTTGGCCACGGTGGGACACAGAGTGTTGGAGTGGATGGGCCATTGGCCAGATCCAACATGGCTTCTCTTGTGTTCTTATGTCCTTATCTGTGCCACCCCAAGTAGTTGCCTGGCCATCTTGGCCAACGATGTCCAGCCAGGAGCAGCAGAGAAGTCCGCAAGGAAGGCATGGAAGCAGCAAGGCACCCCGGTTCTTTGCATTCGGCACTGGGCAGTTGGGGCAGAGTGCAGAGGGGTCATGCTGGGACAGTGGTGGTGGGTGGTGGTGGGATTGCCAGCGAGCAGGCAAGCAGGTAACGCTACGGTGTAGCACAAAGGCAGGCACATGCCTCGGGGCCAGAAGGGATGTGAGGCCATCGGGTGTCACGATGCAGACAGGGCTGGCTGAAGCTCACAAAGGGAGCCAAGTTCCTCTGTTGGTGGGAGAAGCAAATCCGGGGGACGCCTGGAATTTAGCCACAGCTCAGAAAACACCAGGCTGGAATGGCTGGACTGGGCGTAATTTAATGCAGGCCCAAGTTTCTTGGAACGTGGGGAAGTAGCAAAAGGGTGTCTCTGAAAGTGTGCAGAGGCCATTTCCCCCTCCCTGAGCACCCAGGGCTTCCCTCCCCCACAGAATCTAGCATCAGGGGACCGGGGCTTCCCAGTCGACAGGGCCGTTCCCAGAAATTAAACGTCACAGAAATGGAGGGGGGGGAGGAGAACACGAGAAGAGGGCGGTCATCAGAAGCCTTACCTGGGACTCTTATTGTTGAGGCTCAGCGTGATCTCGTTGACACACGCGGGGTGGTTCATCACAAGGCTAAACCCGGACTGTGGGGAGGGAGGGAGGGAGAGAGGAGGCATCAGCAAGGGAAACAAAGGAACGGCGAAGGCAGGGGTCATTTCGTAGAAAAAGAGGTGCAGGAGCTCATTAGCATAACTCATTAGCATAACTTATTTGCATATGCCACACCCCCTGGCATCACCGGAAGTGTGTCAGAAGGCAACACCCACCGCTCAGGCTCCACTGGACTGTTTTGGATTGCTAGCTATTGGGGGGTGGGAGGAACGTGCAGATCTGTCCTCACAGAGGAGGGAGAGCTTGTACCTGAATAAAACCTGGTCTTAAAGGTGCCACTGGACTGTTTTGGACCGGGGGGGGCGGGGGGGCCATGCAGCTTACCTGGCTGCTTCTTGCTCTGACTGAGGGCTGCTGGGAGCAGGGGGTGGGGCTTGTGGCATGTGCCCGCCCCCTGGGCTCTTTACTGCCGGAGCTCCGCTCCTGTGCGCTCCTGCAGGAAATGACCCCTGGGCAGATGTACCCTTCTTAATTGCGGGATGCTGAG